TTCTTTTCTAATTCAATAGCTTCACGTAGTAAGTCTATTCCCTCCCACATTGACCATATAAGAATTCGCACTTCTTCCTTGGTTGCTAGTTCTGGTTCAGAAGGAAAGTAATTCATGGCATCGAAAAAGGTTTTCTTCTCTTCTTTGATAGCATGAATTTCTTCAACAGGTTTGATGAGAGATGAGGGATCAACATGGTTTTCCTCATCAGAGATGGCCAAGGAATTGGAGAGAAGTGCGTTGTTGATGCTTGGCTTCTTACTTTCAGGGGGCAATGGTAGTTTGTTATTATCAATCAAATCTTGGATAGCTTCCTTAAGCTACTAACAATTCTCAGTGAGATGGCCCCTAGCTTGGTGATATTTGCAGTGTGCATTGGGGTTCCAATTAGCTGTCCTCTTTTCAACTAGTGGGTCCCCCAATGGTCCAACAGGAGTTATAAGACCTTTTGCATTCAGTCGATCGAATGCGGTGTCATAACTCATACCGATAGGAGTAAAGTTCCTCCTAAATGGTTTCTTTCGTCCTTAGTTGTTCATAGCAAGGACTTCACTCAAATTAAAGGTGCTAACATTATTTGAGTGGGTGGTTTTGGATGAAGAAGGATTGTCGTTCTTCTTGCCTTTCCAGCCACTGTTGGAGTTATTGTTAGTAGTTTTCTGTTTAACAAGGTCGTCTTCAATGTTAATCCCAATATCATAGATGGCCTTGAAGGAGTGTAGATTGTTTTGATATTTTAGATTCTTGGAGTACTTTTCTTGGAGGTTCTTGATGAACTAACTCACAAATTCCTTTTTACTCGGTACTTCAATCATCCTACCAGAGGTTTCTCTCCATTTATTAAAGAAAGAAGTGAAACATTCATTCTCTTTCTGTTTAAGTATTTCAAGTTCCCTATGATCCGTTTCAACTTGAATAATATTGCATTTATACCTATCAATGAAAATGTTTTACAATTGATTTCCAAGTAGTGGTTTTCTCTTTTTCAAGGGAGATAAACCATTGCTGGCAAACAGTTTCAAGAGATAAGGAAAATAAAGAATGAAATACTTTTCTGTCAATACCCTTAATATTCATTATTGTTTTAAAAGCTCTTAAATGAAAATAAGGGTTATCAGTTGCCTTGAATTTTGGGATGTCGTTGGCATTGAACTTCTGCAGAAGAAGCTCTTTGTCCACCGAGACCCCTTGTGAACTAATGCCCTAGAACCTGTAATCATTAGATATCTTGCTCAAGCTTTCTTACATGAGCTCCATTTGTTGTTGCTTCACATGGTCATTAATTTGGAGGGTTAAAGTCTTTAGCAGTTCGGTAACACCAGCCATTTGCTTTTTCAGCTCATTAACTTCTTCTTGACTCGCCATTATCTTCTTGGCTTTACTTTTTCGAGCGATTGGTTTGTCAAAAAGCTGTACTTGAATGAAAATGTTGTCTTTGATTAAACGCCCTTCCTTTCTTGACCACTCGTTGAAAAATTAAACCATTTTTATTTTAATGACTTGACTCAAATTGACTTTGTCTTTACGGGTTTATAAAGAAAAAGAAAAATAGCAAAAATAGGGTGTATATTTTTAGGAATCAAGTATAGGGGTTCAAACAAGTGGTTTAACTAGAAGATTAATATCCGACTTACCCCCCTAAAATAAATGACGGAAAACACGCGCATACAAGACTCTCTAAACATGGTCAAAGTGTACATACATATTAGTGTGTGCTTTATTTGTGAGTGCAAGTGACATGCTTTGACTCTTGTGTAAGACCATGAGACTTAGTGCCTAGACTCAATTAAGGACTTAACAAAGGTACTGTTATTAACAAAATAATCGAACTGTTAGCAAACTGTTTAATTAGACTCGTCGGGATGACTCGAGAAAAATGTTGAAATGTCGCCGCACACTGCAGTGCAGCGCCAGACGACAGAGTTGTCACTCGGCGTTGCACAGCAACGTGTGGCGCTGCAACCCAAATTTTTGCGCCATTACTGGAGCATTAATCTGGGACTGCTTTCAGCATTTTTACTCTATAGGATAAGCCTAAAGTCGTACAAAGTCAATTCTGATTAAATCATTAGACTTTAATTACTCAAATTAGTTAATTAGGCAAAGTCCTTTTAGTCGTTAATTAGTTTATTTAAGGCTTAAACACAAGTCAAACAAATGGTTAGGAAAAACACATAGAGTATGCACAACAAATAATGCACAATTAGTCAAGTAGCCACAATATGATGCAATGAGTTTGCAACCTAACCATGGCTCTAGGGTCTCTAAAGTTCAGGATATGGGTTAGTCAAAGAGGGTCCATGGTTATGAATCCAGATGCACCGCGCGGAAGCCTTACCTTTGGAAGGGTTGGCTCTAGTGGATGGGACCCCGCGAGTTAAAACTCGCTTCCATGGTTTGGTGAATTCAACATTCTCGGATGTACCCTTTGTTGCACGGAGATGGAGCATGAATTCCCAGAAGGTTATGTCCATATGTAAAACACATATGGGTTTCAGAAAAGTGAGAAAAACTCAATCATGAAGTAGAATTGAGCCAACAGTGCTAGAACTGGTCGAGATTAGAACTCATATTTCTAGCTCGGTATTTGAAGAACGCAGCGCCAACTAATAGAGACCGTCGCCGCAATATACCCCTGTCGTCTGGCGACAAAATTGTCGCTCGGCGACAGGCTCTGTTTTCTAGACGCCAGTTCCTACATGCCTCAGCAGCTTTCTGTGTTCGATAAAATTTTCCAGTTTTTCGCAGCATTATTTCGATTTTAGTTATGAAAGATATTCCTCAAATTTCCTACATGTAAAAAAATCCTATGTTTTTAACTCATTACGGATGGTCTTTCCAATGAGATCTTTTTTATGCATATGACAATAAAGTTAATCAAGATTACGCACATGAAATACTTAGAACTTTTCGAGTCTCATCCACTTATTCTAAATCATTGCCGAAATAAATTTCAGGAATTAAAATAGAAATCCTCCCCAATGGAGTCGCCAAAAACAGTAAGGAATATTTCAAGCATTACCACAAACTTGAACCCCACTGTGATCATACACTTAAGTATGGTAGCGTCCAAAGGGAAGGAAGCTAGAGCAAAAGAGTCGCCAATAAGTTTAAGGAACTTTTAAACCGTTCACAGGGTAAAGGTTCCACCTCTTAACAATCCAAGAGATCGTGAACTCCAATAAGTTTGGAGTCATGACTGGAAGTTCGGGGATGAAGGTACATATCCTACCTAAAATAGATTGAACCTGCCCTAATAATAGGCCTCTACTTTATTCTTCTTGTATTCATGTGCGCTTTCTGACTAACATACAATCAATAGGTTTACCCTAAACATGTTTAATCTATGTTGGTTGAAAATTAATGCACAAACAAAAATATTATTGGCGATCACTTGAATTATAATCATATTAACCCTAATAAGATTATTAATTATCTTATTAAGCGTGATTACAAGTACAAATTCTCTTTAAACATGCATAAAAGGTGTGATCAAGCAATAACAATAAATATAAGCATCAAGAAACATAATAACTATCATAATCATAACAAAAATAATCATAAATATGAAAATAATAATATTAAAGCATAATATCAATAGCAAGATCCAATGCATGATACTAACAAGATTAATAACAAACCCTAGTATGTCACTAATCAATAAAAATCAAATATTTAACCCTAACATGATATGATACTAACATGATATTAAGAAATAAAATAGGAAGCATCACAACAATCATATCTGATATTAGGAATTTTTAGTTATTACCCTAAACATAATACTAGGAAGCAATAACAACCTAAACATGATACTAAGAATCAAAATAACAATCTAAGCATGGTTTTTATATCAAAAAATCAATAAAGCAAATACTTACTTGGATGCCTCGTACCTCTTTCTAATAACAAAATACACACGTTAGTAACTTCAAGGAAAATATAAAACAAACAATTAAATTAAATAAAGATAAAGAAAGTTTAGATTAGACATGGGACCAAACCCTCAGAAATCAAACCTTTCACGTATAGGGGAAAGGCAACTTCGAATTATGGTAAGTGTGTCTAGATCTTGTGAATACGGAATTTTGTACTTAAGAAAAGGCTAATTTAGAAAAGAGAAAGAGAAAAAATATCAAGATTTTCTTGATGAGAGTTGGTGATTGAAAATGGAGGTTTTAGGAGACTATTTATAACGAAAATAAATCGGATTATGATAAAAAAGAATCAGAGTTTCGAAAAGAATAAAACACGACGCTGTCGCCAAACACGCCCTTGTCGCCGCGACGCCAGGCATGTCGCCAGGCGACAGCCTGTAGTGCGGCGCTGTAGACAGTTTTTCCACTCGTTTTCATATTTTTATAAAATTTAAGCGTACGAAGGGTAAAAATGTAATTTCCTTAAAAACACTTCTTTTATTCCAAATAAAACTCTTAAAACTCAATTATCAATGTTAATCACATTAGGATTCAAAAGAAACTTCTATAAGATTCTAGAAGACTATAATCAATCCTAATTGCATTAGGAATAATAAATCATAATAGGCTCTCCTCTAGATCATTGGGTCGCATATAAAAATCAAACCGGACCCATTTTAGTAATTTGGTCGTAACTTCCTCATTACTCATCGGAATTGGGCTTATAATATATCGTTCGAAAGCTCCTTTTAAACCCGGACCAACTACACTATTATTGGACCCCTGATATGGACCAAACTAAACTAGATTGGCTATTTTCATAAAATAGGTTTTTAAAAACAGAGAGAAAGAAGAGAAACCGGAACACTAGACTTTCCAGACTTTTACTTCATTCGATTATGATTCGACATGAAAGGTATTCATTACCGGGTTTGGTTTTGGGGAGACACAAATGGGTGTCTACACTCACCTTATTATTTGCACAATGGTCATCTAATATGCATCGTGACCCTTAAATAAACTAAACAACCTTATTCATATACATAGTAACTCTTTTTGGAATCATCGTTGCTCTATTATAACTAAGGAGTAAATAAACACTTTCATTAAAAAGAGTTGCTACATGACAAGAATTTATACCAAGAATTCATCACCTATATGCATAATTGGCTTATAATTTAATCATGAAATTATTAAGGCCTATGAATGAGAACAATGTAAGCTAAAATTTCCATGGTGGATTGTCGATCTTGGGCTTCCCGTTTTGTTTATTGTAGTATCAAACATGTGTATCTTTAGTATAGACTTTACAGAGGCATATTAGTTTTAGATATGAAACTTCTGTATTATAGCGAAGCTTCTACGCGCTTTCATAGTGGTTGATTATTGCCTCGTACTCTGTAAAACATGCTACTATTAGCATATTTTGGTTAGTAACCTGCTATTGATTTTTCTCTAGTTAATCTGGTTGTAGAGATGGTACTCAAGAGACAATTTGGTGAGGAGGCAAGTGACAATTCATCAATTAACAATAGCTCCCAAAGCCAACCAACAAAACCTCGATTCTTAAAGCGCTGAAGACAAAGAGTAATATAATACAGATGTAATTAAAGAGCATGATTGAAAATATGCAATTAGCATATAAGAATATTAAAATGCATATTAATCAAGTTCACATCATTAAACATCCCTTAAAACAAGCACATTCTGCTAAAATCTCCAAAACTCCAACCCTCTAAAATCCAATACCAAAAATCAACCAATCTGTACAATTTCATCCTCATATATAGTTCAACAAATTACAATATACAAACAATTCCACAAAATCAAATAATAAATCAAAATTGAAGATAATTTATAGAATAATCAAAGTTGAAATTAAAGAGTAGAGTAGAATACTGGTGATTGCGCAAAATTGCTCAAAATTAATCGCTAAAAAACAACAACAATTAATCGGTCAAAAACAACAATAATCAAAGAACGAACAACGAAATCAAAAATCGATTATACCTGAAAGTAGTGGTCGATCTACTTTAGTAGATGAAGAACGAAGGCCTCTTCTTCGGTTAAATGTACCACCACCTCGAGTTCTCGCCATAGAAGAATAATTGAAGCAATTTTGAAGAGAGAGAAAATGGAAGAAGGGAAGCTTGGAAGAGAGAGAAAGTGTGAGGGCTTAGAAGAGAGGGCTTAGAAAAAAGGGAAAGTGTGAGGTGCACTTGAGGGCTTTCGCTACACATTATAATCACATAATTAATCTATCGGTATTAAATCGCATCTCTTGAATTTTGATTTAACCATTTATATATTAACTCGCCTATTGAAACTAAGCCTTAATATTAAAGGAAAATGAAAACTAATAATCCCACCTTTGCTCTATCTTCCCTAAACAATCCCACATTTTAAAGTTACAGAAAATAGGGGTGTTCAAAAATACTCGACCCGACTGACCCGACCCAATGACCCGACGACCCGGAGTAAATTGCTCGGGTATTTTTTTTTAAAAATCATTTTGCGGTACTCGACTCGAGAAATCTGTGCAACTCCCGGGTCGGGTCATGGGCCGATCTATATAGCAGACGGGTACCCGAAAACCCGGAAGTTACATAGTTTTTTTTTTCTTTTCTTTTTTTTTTCTGGAATCTTCTGTAGGTGTAGGGTTTATTGGTTTTTCATTTTTTCCCTCTTTTCCAGCCGATATTCACTCTCTTTTTCCTTCACTGGTTTTCCTCTATCTCTTTCTCTGATTTTCCATATTCATCTTGCATTCTTCCATTCCTTTCTCTCGATCTTGCCTATGCTAGTAATATTTACTCCTTGAATTCATGACTCGTGGTTCAAAGAAGAGAGAGAAAGTGATGTGTTCTTCATCTTCTTCAAGGATAAATCCAAGAACATCAATGGCGAACTCCAAAACACCAATAATGCATTGCAGCAGCACTTCAATTGTTAGTGTATAATCATTGTGATAGTATTTCTCCACTAATTCCTTTTTCAAACTTGGGCTAATTTTTGTATTTTGTGTGTATTATTAATTAATATTATTCCTTCACTAACTTTCTTCATTTGTTTATGTATAATCCGTGATACTTGTTTTTTTATGCCAATTGAACTATCAATATATTGCTTAACATTGAATTGGATTTTTTTTAATACAATAGATCTATTGTTTAGAGTATATCTTTTGGTTTAAAGTGATACTTGTTTTTTGTGCTAATTGGATAATGCCAATTTATAAACAAAAAGATTAATACTTGTTCAACTAAATAACTTTGAATTAGATTTTTATTTATTTATTTCTTTTACAGTAGATCTTTTGGTGGTAGATTGTTAATCAACTCTTACATTTTGACAGCAAATTATTATCATGATAATCCGGGTACCCTATGACCCGACCCGAGAAAATTGGGTACCCGAATTCGGGATACCCGGATTTTCCGGGTCGGGTCGTGGGCCGAGTTTCAAAAAACCCGAAGATCCACCCGCATTTTCGGGTACCCCGGATTTGAACACCCCTAACAGAAACAATCCCACTTTTTACTCTAATCTTCTTTTAACAATCCCTTTTACCTGTAACTAGTTAAACCAGTCGGTTTTATTTTTCGGTTTATATTTTTTATTAATTAAATTCATCTCCTCCCACCTTACTTTCATGGCACCATAGCACCAACGAACTGCCACCCCACCAGATTAGACCAAGCCACCACCACCTCACCTTCACTCCAAACCCGAAACCAACACCCTTACCACTTCCCTTGAGGCAACCACCACCTCTAGCAACGAACCAAATCTCCTAACCCCACCTGAACCAAACACCACCCTCACCTAAACCTCCCTCACCCAAAATCTCCATCACAGACTCGACATCACCCAACCTCCATCAACGAAACCAAACCCCCTAACCCCGCTTGAACTGCACATCACCTTCCTACCACAAACCTGACCCCACTAAATCCCATCAACAAAACACAATTTCCCACCCAAAAACCGCGATAAATTTGACGGAGGATATTAGTGGCGCTTTGTTTAGGTTGTTAAACACATAAGATCTGACTCTTCAAATCATCAGCCATTTTGGGAGAACAATCTTCAAATTCTAGTGTTTAGATTGTTAAAGCGTCGGAAGTTGAATTGAAACTCATAAATTTCGTTGATTTTGGTGTTACTGGTATCAGTAATTGTGATGATATTTCTGCAAATTTGAGATAAATGTTTGAGAAAGTGAGCTAAATATTGAAGATTGAAGATGAGAGAGAAATACTGGGGTTGGGATGGGTTGCCGGTGAAAGCAGAAGCGGAGATGGGGAAGGGCTGGGAAGGCAGTGGCAAAATAAATAAATAAATAAATATATATATATATATATATAAATAAATATATATACCTAAATCGTGATGTTGTTTTTCGAAAGATTGAAAATAACCTCTTTGTTATTCAGTTTTTCCATTGGCCAGACAAGGAAAAGGTGCTTGATGGGGCACCTTGGAATTTCGATAATCAATTAATGTTGCTGAAGGATATTCGAGGAGATGAACAACCAGAATCAATTGAACTTAAATACTGCCCTTTCTGGGTCCGATTATATAATCTTCCTCTAGATAGTCGATCTAATCATGACGTAAAAGCTATTGCGGAGAAAATCGGGTACGTGATCGAAGTGGAGGATGATGAATTGGGTTGGGATACGTCAAGGCGGGCAAGGGTTATGGTGGATACTACAAAACCGCTGCGACGTATCCAAAAGATTCGAAACAAGAGGGGGATTGTGACTATGGTGCAATTCAAATTTGAGAGATTCTCTACTTTCTGTTTTAGGTGTGGAATTCTTGGGCACACGGAGAAGGATTGTGCTCAGGACGAGGGGGAGGAGGAAGAAGTTGAGGAGAAGCCTTGGGGCCTTTGGTTGCGTGCGTCGCCGAGGAAGGGTCGTACAAAATGGAAGGAGGAGGTAGCAAAGCTGCGATCGAAGGCAAAAGCTCTTGTCTTTACTCAAAAGCCCAAGGCTGGAAACAGGGAGGTGGGTGAAACATTTAGCAGCCCACAAACCTGTATAATAAGTGATAATGTGGATAAAGGGGGTGAGCAGCAATTATAGAGTGTTAATGGATTAGTAAAGGAGCTTAGTTCTGAAGGTATTAATGAGGATAGTGCCGAAAATGGAGCTGCAAACTCAAATTTTTCTTTTTCAGCAGGGGAGATTGCAAAGGGGAGGGAAGGAATGTCGGGGGATGTGGAGATGGTGAAAAGGTGGAGGAAATTTCCACGTGAAAATAAGAGTATAGTGGAGGGTGAGATTGGAGTAGTGACTGGCTTAAAGAGGGGAAGGGGGCAAGAGGAGGAGATGGTGGCTACGGAGAGTAGAGTTAAGAGGACATTCTTACATGAAAGCGTGGTTGCTTCGGCGGAGGTTGGTGAATTCCAACCCCGCCAACTCCAATGAGTATCTTAAGCCTCAACTGTAGAGGGTTGGGCAATACCTCTACAGTGTCGAACCTCCGTGATCATATACGGAGGGGAGCCCCGTCTGTGATTTTTTTGTCAGAGACGAAATTGAGTAGTGTGGAATTTAGTCGTGTTCGTGATATTCTATCAGATTTTAATGATATTGTGGTGGATAGTGTTGGCAGATTAGGAGGATTGGCTATGCTTTGGAGGAGAAATGTGCGTCTTTCCCTTCGATCAATGTCCGTGCATCATATGGATTTTTGGGTGGAAAGGGGACTTAGTGGTGAAGGTTGGCGGCTCACTGGTTTCTACGGGTGGCCGGAAGTACAAAACAGACATTTGTCTTGGAGTTTACTTCGAGAGCTTGCATCTCAGAATATTGGTGAGTGGGTTTGTTTAGGAGATTTCAATGAAGTTCTCGGAGAGGATGATAAAAACGGTGGTGTTGATAGGGCGGAATGGCAAATGTCTAATTTTAGGGAAGCTGTGGATTTATGTGGTTTTAAGGAGGTGAAGTTTGAAGGGTATGCTTTTACTTATGACAATGGTAGGGAAGGGGAGGAGAATGTGCAATGTCGCCTTGATCGAAGCTTAGCTACGGATGATTGGCATGTGAGATTCCCAAGTGCAAAATTAATCCACATTGATAGAGAATGGTCGGACCACGCTCTTATTGAACTCGTTCTTGATTATGATAGTAATGTTGGGGGTCGAAAAAATAAATTATTCTGTTTCGAGCAAATGTGGGTGGATAAACAAGAATGTGAGGAGGTGATTAAAGATGCATGGGATCTCGGTGTGGGGGTTGATCATAAGCTAAAAATGTGTGCTGAAAATTTGAAAGGGTGGAGTGACGCAAAATTTGGAAAGGTGTTTAAAGATCTCGGGAAGAAAAGGAAGCTGCTAAAAAATTTGAATAAGGGTAAGCTCTCATCATCACAAGTGCAACGTCGGAGACAAATTGTGAGTGATATTGAGAACTTAGTGAGGCAGGAGGAAATTTTTTGGCGACAAAGATCTCGAGTTCTTTGGTTAGAAGCTGGAGACCGCAATACTACTTTCTTTCACCGGCGCGCATCAAGTAGAAAGGCTAAAAACTTGATCCGTTATTTGCTTGATGATAATGAAAACAAAAAGGTGGGTGATAAGGTTGTTGGAAGAGTTGTAAAGGAATATTTTCTGGTCTCTTTGCATCAGGTTTGGTGTCAAATATGGAGGCTGCTCTTCAGGGAATTGGTAGTAGAGTAACGGCAGCAATGAATGATGTTCTTGCTGCTGATTATAGGAAAGAGGAAGTTACGGAGGCCCTTAGTCAAATGCACCCGATTAAAGCCCCGGGACCGGATGGTATGTGCCCTTTATTTTTCCAAACATATTGGCATATAGTTGGTCCATCAGTTTGCAATCTTGTGTTGGGAATTTTAAGAGGTAACTCTATGCCGCCGTTTTTAAATAAGACATTTATCGTGTTAATCCCAAAAACAAAAGATGCGGATAAAATGTCTGATTTTTGCCCCATTAGTCTTTGCAATGTCATTTACAAGCTTGTCTCGAAAGTTTTGGCAAATAGGCTCAAAGTAATCCTTAATGATATCATTTCGGAAAACCAAAGTGCTTTCACTTCGGGAAGATTAATAACCGATAATGTCCTAGTAGCTTTTGAGATGTTTCACCACATGAAGACATCTACGGCGAAAAAGGGTCATCTTGCCCTTAAATTGGACATGGCGAAGGCATATGATAGGGTTGAATGGAATTTCCTTGAGGCGGTTTTGGTTCGAATGAATTTTAATATGGGGTGGATTAATAGAGTTATGCATTACGTGAAAAAATGAAATTGGCACCGGTTCAAACAAGGCGTAAGGCACCGGTTTGAACCGGTGCCAATGTGGGGGGTGCCAAAAAGTGGTTTAAAAAGGCACCGGTTCAAACCGGTGCCAAAACTCGGAATTGGCACCGGTTGACCGGTGCCAAAAAACACCAAAAAAATTTAATTCAATGTTTTTGGCACCGGTTAACCGGTGCCAAAAGTGCCAAAAAATAATTTTTTTTCCTTAAAAATTAAATAAACTAAAATTAAATGAGAATACAAATATAAATCGAACATCACAATCAATATAATAAAATTTGTTCAATATATATATAATTAAAAAAAATTACAGTATAGATCAATAAAAAAATTACAACTTATAACTCAAAATAAAAAAAATTACAACATATGAATAAAAAAAAAAATTACAATATAAATCAAAATAAAAATTTACAACTTCACAATAAAAAAAAACCATACAACATCTAAATCAATATACTTGCATCTTGATTCTTCGATTTAAGATCTAAATCCATATACCTGCACCAATTAAAACAACCAAAATAAATTGATTAAAATGATTTAATTAAGCTGCGAAATTTTTTTTAAAAAAAAATCCAGAAAATCGAAAAAATAAATAAGAAAATCAGTTGAAAAGAAAAAGAAAACCCAGAACATCAGTTAAAAAGAAAATCGAAAAATAAAAATATGAAAAAAAACCCAGAACATCAGTTAAAAAGAAAATCGAAAAATAAAAATATAAAAAAAAACCCAGAAAAAAAATCGAATAAAATAAAAAACCAAAATCAAAAATCAGAAAAAAAAAAAAAAAAAAAAAAAAAAAAAAAAAAAAAAAAAAAAAAAAAAAACCTTAAAAATAAATAAAATTAAATTCAGTTAAAAAAAACCCCAGAAATTAAATATAAAAAAATTCGAATAAACCC